TGTAATGTTAATTTTACCTGTGATCCTTTGAATAAACCAGCACGGTTATTTTTTATATCCAAGTGGTCCGCCTCGTCTCTCTGAGTTCCTGGTTAAAAGAACTGGGCCATATCTTTCAACCTAAAATCCACTGTTTAACGTGTTCAGCTCCAGGATGATGTGACCACACCACACGGCCAGCTGTTCAGCCTCTCCTTTGTTTTCTAAAATTTTGAGTCGCCAATCAACCCAAGATGCATGTCTTTGGACTGTGGGAGGAAGCCGGAGTACCCGGAGGGAACCCACGCAGGGACAGGGAGAACATGCAAACTCCACACAGAAAGGCACCGGGTCAGCCCAGGCTCAAACCCGGAACCTTCCTGCTGTGAGGCGACAGTGCTATCCACTGTGCTGCCCAGCCTGTCAAATATAAAACAGCTTTTCTTCTTTTATCACATACAGTCTTATGCAAAAGTTTAGGCACCCCTTGATAAATAACAGATTTTGGTGATTTTTTATTTGAACAGATGTTAACACAGTTTCTCTTGGAAATGGAAAAAATGCACAATATTTTCAGCAAACAGTGATGCATAGTTACTTCTTATGCCATAAATTGAACAAAAATAAAAAATAAAAACATTATTATGGCATGGTGCAAAAGTTTGGGCACCCTAAGAGTTCCAGAGTCTCAAAGTCTCTCACAAGGTTTCAGACCTTAATCAGCTCATTAGATCTGATGCACAGCAACAGCTGTCATTGGTAAATGCCAATTTCAAAGCTGTACAAATACCTTGACTCTTCAAACCTTGTGCACACACTTGCGGACACCCAGCAACCATGGGTTCCTCTAAGCAGCTGTGTAAGACCCTGAAAATGAAAGTTATTGATGCCCACAATGCAGGAGAAGGCTACAAGAAGATAGCAAAGCGTTGTCAGCTTGCAGTTTCCACAGTAAGAAATGTAATTAAGAGATGGCAGATCAGGGGAACTGGGGAGGTCAAGATGAGATCTGGAAGACCAAGAAAACTCTCGGACAGAACTGCTCGTATGCTGGTCAAAGACAAATCAAAACCCCCATTTGACTGCAAAAAACCTGCAGGAAGATTTAGCAGACTCAGGAGTGGTGGTGCACCGTTCCACTGTGCAGCGATGCTTGCACAGACAAGGCCTTCATGGAAGAGTCAGCAGAAGAAAACCTTATCTGCGTCCCCATCATAAAATCCAACATCTGAAGTATGCAACAGGACATCTACAGAAGCCCGATGCGTTTTGGAAACAAGTGCTGTGGACTGATGAAGTTAAAATAGAACTCTTTGGACACAATCAGCAAAGGCATGTTTGGAGAAAAAAAGGAGCAGCATTTCATGAAAAGAACACCTTGCCAACTATTAAGCATGGGGGTGGATCTATCATGCTCTGGGGTTGTGTTCCAGCCAGTGGCACAGGAAACATTGCACGGGTGGAGGGAAGAATGGATTCCACTAAATACCAGCAAATTCTGGAAGCAAACATCACACCATCTGTAAAAAAGCTGAAGCTGAAAAGAGGATGGCTTCTACAACAGGACAATGATCCTAAACATACCTCGAAATCCACTATGGAATACCTCAAGAGACGCAGGCTGAAGGTTTTGGAATGGCCATCACAGTCCCCTGATTTAAACATCATTGAAAATTTGTGGGTAGATCTTAAAAGAGCTGTGCATGCAAGACGACCAAAGAATATTACAGAACTAGAAGCCTTTTGCAAGGAAGAATGGGAGAAGATCCCAAGTACAAGAATTGAAAGACTTTTAGCTGGCTATGAAAAGCGTTTGCAAGCTGTGATATCTGCCAGAGGAGGTGTTACTAAGTACTGATTGTGTAGGGTGCCCAAACTTTTGCACCATGCCATAATAATGTTTTTATTTTTTATTTTTGTTCAATTTATGGCATAAGAAGTAACTATGCATCACTGTTTGCAGAAAATATTGTGCATTTTTTCCATTTCCAAGAGAAACTGTGTTAACATCTGTTCAAATAAAAAATCACCAAAATCTGTTATGTATCAAGGGGTGCCTAAACTTTTGCATAAGACTGTAAACACCAAACGGCAGACAGGCAGTGGACCTTATTCACTAACATGCGCATAGAAATGTTCTTACCTTGTGCACAAAATAAGTGCATCGGAGCTATGTCAGCGGCGGCCGGAGCCGGAGGTATGTCGTCGGGGGCCCCTCTCAATCCTGCTCTCGCAACATCCATTCTTGCTCTCATAATACGCAGATGCTCCCGAGCCTCACCCAAATTTATTTGCATTTGATGAGGCATCCCGTCCCCCATCTCTCCAACATCGCGAGCCGGAGATATGTCGTCCAAGACCGCTCTCAATCCTGCTATCCCAATATCCATTCCTGCCTCCATAGCATCCATTCTTGCTCTCGTAATACGCAGATGCTCCCGAACCTCACCCAAATTTATTTGCATTTGATGAGGCATCTCGTCCCCAATCTCTCCAACATCCCGAGCCGGAGGTATGTCGTCCAAGACCCCTCTCAATCCTGCTATCGCAATATCCAGTCCTGCGTTCATAGCATGCACTCTTGCTCTCATAGTATCATTTCTTGCTCTCATAGTATCAATTTCTGCTCTCAAAATACGCAGATCCTCCCTATCTGGAGCCGGAGGTATGTCGTCGTCTCCAATATCCTGAAAATGGACGTGCTGAGCCATTACAACTTTCGATAACACTTCTCTATAACGCGTGTTCAAAACTACTCTGAAACAGTGAGAGACTTTAACCTTTTGTAGCTTTTCATTCACCGAATGCTGACGTCAACGTGACGTCACTGTCCTTTGATGTTTTATGTTTTTCACTTGACCTGATCTTCAACCTCTGCTCAAGGATATAGTTAATAGGTAAAGGTAAGAAGACCGTAAATTTGTAGGTAACGTTAGTAAGATATCAGTGTTACGCTGTCCTAATATAATCTGATCATTCTTACCCTTAACGTGAACTGAAAATAATGTAAACTAGCGGCATCATTAAAATTCGTGTGGTGCCACATATGATGTTGAATAGGTAAATTGCCCAGCTGTCGCTATTGCTGATAATGTTAGCTAAATAGCATTAATGTACTAACATTACTAGTGGAAATTGTATTAGGTCGTGTGCAAACTTTCACAGGTTGCAATCTAGCTTAGCTCGCTAGCCTTAGCACTGCACCTGGGGTTAGCTCGATATGCTGGTTGCACAGAAACCCCAGCCATTTTGACAGGTACATGATGTTGTCCTTTCGTCGCCAATCCAATTCATGTCAGTGCATTAAGGAGTGTATGTAACTCACTGTCCTGTTTGTACATAAACTCTTTTTACTTGTATTTTATAGTTACATCTGGAGCAGATTAACAGCAAACTGACAGCTGCTGTTAATCTGCTGTGACAGCATGAGTGACAATTCCTTCTGTCTGTAGGCTATCGCAGTGCCAGTGTCATCATAGCTCTGACAGATGGAGAGCTCCACGAAGATAGTTTCTACTATGCTGAGACAGAGGTTAGTGAGTTAAAGAAATGGGTCACACAAATTATAACCAGGTGAAACGTGACTGCAGATGTGATGGACCAGATCAAACCTTGCCACCCCATATGTTATCTGTTTGATGTGTTAATCGGAAGATATTTGATCAAAGCAGCTGTCAGATTTATACGTCTGAGCCCAATAGTCCTCCTCACATCTGCACAGGAATCTAGTGACTTACTTGCTCCTCAGACTACCCAGGCACTACAGGTGAATGTGTGAAAAAGCCTGAGGATTTGATCAACTTTGAGTGCCTTCATACACGTGTTGACAGCAGGGATAATATGGGGCTGATGCTTTCAGTGGCTTGAAATGTTGTCGCATGGTGTTGGAATAACATTTTTCACCGGGGACATGGTGTTGCCCAACATCTTTTAAAAACTTTTTAGAGGCCAGATAAACACAGGCCAATTTTGACCAAGTTTTGGATGATATTGTGCAATGTAGAGGTGTAATTGAACCCAGGTGTTGAGCTGCTCCATCGGTGAGCATTGTTACCTGTCTTTGAACCCTCACCTGTGGACCAATGCCTATTGTCCTGGTGGGCATGTTTGGACAGAGATCTCAAAACAGGATTGTAGATGGATGACAAGCTGTGTCTTAGTCCACCACCCCTATTTAGTGAGGGGTGTTTTATTTTTACAAAAATAGCTTCCTGGACTCCTCTCTCAAACCAGCAATGTTCTCTGGAGAGGATCTGGACTTCACTGTCCTCAAAAGAATGTCCTTTGTCCTTCAGGTGGAGGTGGACTGCTGACTCAGTAGCTATAACGAATCAGTCGTTAGAGGACATTGTTGGCCATCAGAGAACTGAAACACCACCGATGGGGATAAATATCTCCAGCTCAACGCCAGTCGGGCAGAACTGATGAAGCCTCTTGGATGAGAGGTGAAACGTCTTCGACCTAAAACCAAGGCCAGTTGATTTTTTTTTTCTATGTTTTTTCAGTTTACTATGACCTGGATGACTGAGAATCTGCATGGACATCTAAAGACAGATTCCAGATACAGTACTTTGCCTCATTGTGATCTATCTATAGTGTCATCAGTCTGGATAATTACCTATGAGTTAAGTGGTACAACAAGGACATCAGATGTATTTCAAATGTGTCTTACTTTATGCAACATTATCCCTGTGTTTGCCTAATCATTTCAGTGTGTGTTGAGGTTATTTTCCTTCTTTGTGTGTTGTGAAATAGTGTGTCAGAAGAAAAGAGGAAGTTAAGTAACTGTGTTCATATGAACTGTGCTAATTTAATAAGGTCATTCAGTGTCTAATTCTGTGTCTTGTTGGGTGATTGGAGGGAAGGCTCAACCTGGGCGACTACACAATGATCGATTAAAAACTTGTATCAATAAGTGTGCAGTTGTAAACTGTATTTGTAATAACTTGTTTTGTTTTTCTCTAGCTGACAGAGATCACTGATGGTAAGTCTTTCCAGTGACAGATGGATTTGAGACCTTGCAGGGCGTCATTGATTCAGTAAGTATTTCAGTTCTGCCTATAAATATGTTCAGATACACAGGAAATTGCAAAATGGATTTAAAGCACATTAAGTTAGCCAGGTACAGAATTCCAGGAAAACCCGCCGTGCTTGTGACTTTCTTGCTTTAATCAGTGTGGCCAAACATGATCAGAGTGCATGCTGTCCAGTATTTCTTAAGTGGTGTTGACTTAAATTTGTTTTATCCACTTGCCTGAAAAATTAAGAACAGTTTATTATGAAGGGACTGTTGTCACTGGGACCTGAGGTTTGTCTAGCAGAGGTGTGACTGTCTGGCATCTGACTGTCATCTGGAGCAGATTAACAGCAAACTGACAGCTGCTGTTTCGTAGCCATGTGAATGGGTCAGGAATTAGGCTTGTTTGGCTTCAGGGTTGTAACTGGCTATGTTCTTGGAGCAAAGTGATTAAAGACACCTTGGCAGAACACAAATGAGAATAAATGTAAACCTGAAGTTCGAAGACCCCGGTGGCAAAAATGTTAATAGACATATTAAATCTAGGGCTGAAATCAGTCATTCAATTTAAAATTTGAGTGCCATAGTCCAAAGAAACAGACAGTGGCCCAAATTACTGACTAAAATAGTATCCTTAAGATGTAATGAAGCTGTAAACAGAGACTGTGCAGACGTCTCCTTGTGTGTCAAGCTGCACCATCTCGTTGCGTTTATGAACTCTGTGATGATCTTCTCATCTCCTCAGATCCTAAAGAAGTCCTGTACCGAGATCCTGGCAGCAGAGCCCTCTAGTGTCTGTGCTGGAGGTAAGACAAGGCAGACTGTCCTCCCTTCCATTTTCTCGGGATGCTCAAAAGTGACATCTTCAGCTTTATAGGAAGCACAAACAAGCTGTCAATTTAATGCATACCACACAGTATCTTTACAGGTTCAAAATGTAGTGTCACTATATCACACATCATGTCCTTGTTTGTCAAGGATTACTCAGTCATAATACATAGAAGACAGTTTTCCTTAGTTTAAAGAAGTGTCAGCAAGGTGTGTGTGGTAATGGTTCCAGAGGAACATCGACATTATTCCACATGTCGACTATTCAAAGTCTTCCTGACAACAAACTCTCTGTATCTAAAGGCATATCAAGTTAGTATCCACAGTAAGGAGGCATTAGTGGTTTCTGAGAGTGTTCCATATTACCATGATGAGGAGTTTGGATGTTACTTTGTACCAAAAGAATAAAAAAACAGCCCAATCCTAAAGTTACTTTCTGTTGCTGAGATATTTCTGCTTTTATTCTCCTCATACAGAGTCCTTCCAGGTAGTGGTGAGAAGCAACGTTTTCCTCCACGCACGAAATGTTGATGAAGTCCTACGCAGCTTCAGAATCAACAACGCCCTCACGAAAAGTGAGTGAAACATGACTGAGCAATAGTGAAGACAACACAGTCTCACCGATTCACTACTACAGCCTGTAGGAGAGCCAGAAATAAAACAAAGGAGTAACTACCACACATAAAGCAGGGGGAAGGAAAAAGCCTCAGGTTTACTGTACGAGTTGTGAAAACCATTTCCTACCACGCACACCCCAAGTCATTTAAAAAATGACTTGGGGGCGGCTGTGGCTCAGGAGGTTCTCTCTTAATTGAAGGGTTGGTGGCTCGATTCCTGGCTTTTCCAGTTCACATGTTGATGTGTCCTTGAACAAGGCACTGTGAACCCCTTGTTGCTCCCAGTGATGTCACCAGTGTGTGAGTGCTTGGGAATGCGAATGGGTGAATGGCCGAATAATGTGAAAGCGCTTTGAGTGTGCTGTAAAAGCATAGAAAGGCACTATACAAGTATAAGACCAAGACCACAGTACCCACTGGAAGTGATGGTTTAATTAAACAAATAAAATATCTTCTCTTTTGATGTGGAAGCGATGAGCAGATGTTTCTTTATTAATGTGATGGCTACTCATGTTAGTGCAGCCTCATGTTTCAATCAAAGTTGGAATATATTACTTGACCACAGCTTTATAACTTATTATATTTGTTAAATTATTTGTCAATTGTATTTGTTTCAATCCAAGTGGTCTGTTTTGATGTTGGAGAAAGGATATTGCATCTTTTCTGCTCTGTTATGTTTGTTTTTCACATCAGTCATACAGTATGCTGCTCCTGCATATAGCCTATGTTGGCACACATACTTAACAGGTACACAGAGAGACTGTTTTCTCCACTTAGTCATTCAGCAATTCTTTAAAAAATGACTTCTCAGTATTACAGTTTCTTGATTGCTTTGAAGCAGCCGTCAATTGAAACTCCACATTTTCAAAACAGTTAACACACCTGCCTAAACAGTATCACTGATGGCAGAATGACACATTTTATTTGCAAAAGGCTCTAACCATGCCAAAATATTTAAAATATGCAACAAAAGCAAATTTTGCCTTCAAACAACACAACTTGCAAACAAGTATATGAGCTCTTTCAGTCAGTCATTACACAATAGACAACAAAATACACAACTCAGTGTGAATCAGTGCACCATTGCTTGTCATTGTAGCCTATAGACAGTGTCATTTGTCTTTCTATATAGGCTGTGTCAAATTAGCCTTTTTGCAAAGAATTGGATCCAGAATAAGAAATACTTTGATACAATTTTTATTGAATACATGATCTTTTTTTTTTTTTACTGTGGCTGAAAACTGAAATACAGCATATAATAACTAAATATTACAGAAAAAAATGTAAACCAAAATACAGTAAATGCATTTTCTGTTTCTGAATGCCTGACTGTTCAAAGCTGATCACTCAGTTCCTTTGAAATAAGAACAGCTGGAATAAACTGTTAAGGAAGCCAGCTATTGTAAAATTGATCAGAATTATCAAGTAGCCGAGCTTCCCAAAAGTTATACACCACATTAGCCACACAGCTGGAATCCTCTTTAAATAACACCTTGTATATTTTTACAGCCTGTAAATAAGACAAAGGAGTAACTACCACACATGAAGCAGGGGGAAGGAAACAGCTTCAGGTTTATTGTATGAGTTGTGAAAACCTTTTCCTACCACGCACACCACAGTACCCAAATAAAAATAAAATGTCTGCTCTTTTGATGTGGAAGAGATGAGCAAATGTTTCTTTATTAATGTGATGGGTACTCATGTTAGTGCAGCCTCATGTTTCAATCAAAGTTGGAATATTTTAATTGACCACAGCTTTATAGCTTATTATATTTGTAAAAGTATTTGTCAGTTGTATTTGTTTCCATCCAAGTGGTCTGTCTTGATGTTTGAGAAAGGATATTGCAATAACCCCTCATTACTTTACTAAGTAAAATAAAATATATTCAATTCCACTATGTACAATATTTGAAATTCACCATCTTATTATTTTATTTTTGTATTCACATTCTTTTCTACTATTTTGTTCTTTTGTAACTTTATTTTTAAACTAGGCGTTCTTTTTCTGGCTTTTAACTCTTTACTTGACTCCGAGAGAGCCCTGCACAAGAATTCCTATATGCCTAGACTGTCTGTTTATGCATAAATGGCAAATACAAATCTTGAATCTTGCATGATATGACAAGGCATTACTGTAGAGTATGGGGCGACATGTGGCTCAGTAGGTAGGGCAGACGTCTGCAAACCAGAATATATGGTGAAAAGGTCAAAAGAAAAGCAGTAACATGTGACATACATGTAATTAATGGTGGAGTTTGTGTATCCAGGAAGAAGTGGCAGCAAATACAGTCAGGCATTCTGGTATGTTTGGTGGGTCCTGTCTTAAGCTATCCATTTGTAATGCAACAGCTTTGAGCTAGATGGGCACCTGTAAGAGCTGCTTCATGGCCATATGGTTTCCTCTTCGGATGCGGTCAGTGGTGGTCAGGCTCACGTTGTTGATATTCCTAAATGTGCCCTGATCTGTGATCACTGCTACCCTGATTTCATGCAGCCTTATGGGCATTGTTTGCCACAACCATGTTTACAATGGCCGCCTCCTGCTCAGCACTAAAAATTGTCCCTCGACCACCAGAGAATGGTAGCCTTTGGATTCTACTATAAAGAATGCATGTAATGGGAATGAGGAAACACATGAAGTATATCACTGAAGATATTTCTCTATCTAATGTGATCACTAGGGGTAGAACTAGATAAGCATTACTTCTTTCTACTCCCTTGCAAGCATGTAATGACTAAGCATCATCAAGAGAAATTTCTATTTTTTTGGTTGTATATGGTAATTGGTTTGGTTGTTTTGTGTTACATGTTTTGTTTTTTTTTATTTTTTTTTCTCTGTTTCTCTCTGTTTTATTACATGCTTGGAATTAATAAAATAAAAAATAAAAATAAAAAATAAAAAAAGCAAAGCTGAGTACCAGTCTTTTTGGGGTGCATAACCAATGCAAATCACCCTCCAGGTCCGGCGTCCGGTGGTACCTGATCTTCATCTTTTGTCTACCTGTCATGGTAGCAACCTCTGTCTCCTCTTTGTGTCTGCTCGCTTAGCAGCACCTTCTGCTCCTCTCGACTCTCATCTGCCTTAGACCTCCTCCATCCATGCTGGCAAAAAACAACAAGAACCTGGCCCCTTTTTTATCAGGCCTACAGACTAATTGCTAATTGAAGATTTGTGTGAAGCAGTGTCAAACAGGTGCTTTAGTGATTTCACACTGATCTTGGTAGTTTCTAATAGTTAGGAATAGATGGTTTCTCTTTGGTTACCATAGCTAAAACAATGGAGTTTGGACTGCTTGAATGACATCCATGTTAACTGTTTTGCAAAAGGGTGGGAAAATGTGTCAATCCAATGAGAACGCATTTACACATTTGCAATATGCGTCTTCTGCTCTGCTGGGTTAGTGATGATGAAAACTGAGTGGGTCCTGACGCGCCAGTAGATTCATTTGGCCTGCAGAAGTTAATCAGAAGTGAGGTTGTACATGTCAGATATTGAAGCTAAAAACCATCATGTATCATTTCTCAACACTGATATTGTGAAATAAGCTTCATATGAAGACTGCCACACCCATCAGAAACACCTGCATACAGATTTTATTCAGGACTTGTTTGATACAGTGGCAGGAAACCATAATTTACAGCATGGAAAATAAAATACAGAGTTCACCGAGCTCCAGCTTTGGGTGGAACCCACTCCTGGATCTTCTTGCGGGTGGTGGGGTAGGGCACATACTGCTGAGGGGTGCTGCTGACGTTAAACTGGTGGATCTCAGACAGGAACTTCTTGGGCTCTAGTGGGTGTGTGGTGGGGGGCTCATCTGCCATACAGTGCAGCCAGCGATGCCTGAAGAGGGACCGTGATGGAGGTAGGTGGTTTTAAGTAATACCATGTAAATGTATTTTAATGAAGTTCTTAAGTCTGGGTCCACTAGAAAAAAAACCTCTATTTCATCAAAAACCACTTCCAGGAAAAAAAAAAAAAAAAACTTCACTTTTTATGCAAAACAAAATCTCATGACTCCTGCCTGGATGTTTGCTTATGTGCCCAGGCTCAGTTGAATCTGTACAAACCACACACACACCTGATAAAGCAGATTAGCATAGTTTATGACCAATGTTATTTACAGTCTTTTGCAGCTTTGATTGTTGCATAAATTTGTTCAGCTCACTGGACATCAGAGGCAGGTATGCAAAACAAAATCTCATGACTCCTGCCTGGATGTTTGCTTATGTGCCCAGGCTCAGTTGAATCTGTACAAACCACACACACACCTGATAAAGCAGATTAGCATAGTTTATGACCAATGTTATTTACAGTCTTTTGCAGCTTTGATTGTTGCATATTTAATCATAAATAAGTAAGATAATGGAGAAATACTGACATGTTCAGGGGTGTTCTCTTAACCCCATTGTTTTACTTGTATTATTTATTAAAATTGCAGGTCCTACCACTCAGGTGGCACCATGCTGCCATCCACGTCCCACAAAGTTTTCTTTCCATTCATCTCTGTGGTGTAGATCACCCAGCGATGACGTCCTGGACACACGGACAAAGAGCCAAGGGTTTATTAAGCAAATAAGATGGGCCACTCTGCAGCAGGTACAGAACCACGTCAATGCTTCTTTCTGATAGATTTCAAATGAGACAACTGCGCCCAAATCTGAGCACCACTTGCAACAAGCATCCTGAAGTCTTTAAATCATGCACATTCTGGGAATGTCCTCACCAAAGAAGTAGTGCTTCTTGTCCTCATAGTATTTGTTTCCGTATTTGTCCACACCAACCAGGGTTCCTGTCTTCACATCATTCGCCCTGACAACGAAATATTAACAGTAATGTTAACTGCCCCAACACACGTCGCCCAATCTTATATGCACTAACACCAAGAGTATTAATCTTTCCAGACTCTGTCTTGTTTATCAGCAAAGCCACACACTCAGTGAAGTAGGCATTTCTTCTGCCGAAGAAGAAGAGCTCTACTTGAGCTTTGTGATCAAGTAAACACTGTTGTAAGCTGAATACATCTGTGGCTCCTAGAGTTTTGAAAGGGCTTTCAGTTATGATCTTCAGTTAAGATTAAATCGGCGAACTAGGCACTGACCTAACTAGGCATTGATAGTTCTCCTTAAAATTGTTTAAATCCAGTTAACGTTTGCTGGCTCCATTATCTGTCAACATGCTAACTTAGCTTTGAAGGGAAAGTCTGGGTCACGCCAGTGTTATCTGTCTTATACAGATTACAGAGTCATCGTCCCCGTGTTTTATTAAACTGACCTGAATAACTGAAGGAAAAAACCTCGGACTCCACCATGACCTCCTAGTTGCCCCAAAGCCCTTCGAACTAGGGTTGCATACTCCGCCATCTTTAGACGGAAGAATAAAGGAAACGGACCGTTGTGCTCTTTTAACGGGTTCGAGTAGCACCCACCACCCTTTAAATATTTAGTTCCACATATAGGAACATGATAACAGTTGGGCTCATAGAAATGATAGGATAGTCCAGTTCGCGTGTATGTAACAATAATTTGTTATATTATTTAATTATCTCTAATAATCTTGGTAAATGTGCAATAATTACTACCTAATCTCGTTCTCTTTTTACTACTCATTTATTAAGATGATTAGAAATATCTGAACTTCTCCTACAGTAGAGACACTGGCTTGTGATTTTAATAATAAATCTGATAAATTCTGGAGGTTCTGGAAATATTTGCATTCTTTCTTGTTACTCTGATTATTTAGTTGCATTTGTATTTTTTAACTTCTTGTGCAATATATTTATACATGTTTATGTATGTGTGAGGTGGGATTTTTCTATTCTTAGGATTTTCTATTGCTGTTACGTATACGTATGTAGGTAGGGAGTAGGTGCAAGTACGTGAGTAAGTACTTAAACACAACAAGGGTCGGGTGCTCCTTTGTTGTAAGTCAGGATTTGGTGCCAGCTTAAAAACAGCAACCCTTGAATTGAAAAGCATTTCTTTGAGTTGCTGCAGGAAACTTCAGCATAGTCTATGCTATGCTTCCTGACACAGCCTTCAACTTGCTTTTTAATTTAAGGGCAGACATCTTTCTACTGCCCAAGAGAGTGGATCTAATACACAACTGAGGAGGACAGAGGAGAAATAGAGTATAAAGGCACAGTGAAATTCAGAGCTTTGGCATTATGAGTCACTCAACATGCTACCTTATGTCTCAAACCAGAGACCCAGGCTTCACCCAGAACCAGTGCGCACAGATGCATATACCTCCCACATTCATCTGTCTGCACTCTGCAAATAAGTACTTGGTCTGTGAATCTGCACAGCACATTACTTTCATCAAAAGAAAGGAAATTAATACAAAAGGACAGGATATTAATTTATATCTTTTATTAAAAACTGTTGCCTGACAGTTTAGAAACATTGTTTATAGGAGATTCTAACTCTGATAGACTGAATGTTTACGAAGTTGACACACATTTCAACCAGGCTGCTGCAGATTTATACCTCTGTATGAGGCAGGCATGAAACTGTGTGACAACAACAGCCAAAGAGCTTTAATGACAGTATTTACCATTTCTTTCATTCACTAAAAAATAAGCATTTGGGTTTATTTAACTGTAAAATAACTAACAGACCTGAAAAAATATTGCTTTTAAATCTACAGACCTAGAGTAACTCTGAAAGTTATGATCATGCAAAATGGATGCTGAAATTTGTTCTTTTTTAGTGAACAGCACCTATATTATTGCAACTTAGCAGAAAAAGGTAATATAAGAGCAATGTCTGCGAAAACTAAAAGCATGAAAATCAAAATGTTTTCTTTTTGAGCTTTACCTTAGAAATATAGTTAATGCATACTGTCCACAGTATTCACTGAAAATAAGTAAATTTTCTTTAGGCAGTTCTCTATAAAAACTGAAAAAATAAACCCTGACTCCCAAAATAAGTGGCAGCCTGTGCTTTTCAAACTATAAATTTTCTTATTTTATAAATATTAGCCCTTCAGCTTTGATATAAAAAGGTCAAAGTTGCTCTTTTATGTTCATATACACAGATTTACCAATTAATTATTTATAATGTGGCAAAACATGCATTAATTGTGAACAATATCTACATTTTTCATGGTATATCCAGTTTTCTCCAGGATCCTCTTGGTTTTATCCCACAAGTTATATGTTATATGGTATTTTAAATCTAAAAATATAGCAGTAAAATCTCTTAACCAGAGAGATTAACCTAAAAAGCAGACTATCAACTTCCTGTATCTTTGTAGAAGCCTGATTTTCACAGTAAAATCCCAACTTGCTATAACACTAATCTCTACAGACATCAGCAATGTTATGCATCCATGTTTCAGATAAAACATGCTACCACTTTGAATATTTATGATTTTTCTGTAGCCATTATCAATGAGGACAGACAGTTTGATAGATTTTGCTTTACACAATGACTCCTTTATCTGTTTGCATTTTAAAAAATCATCCCCAGACTCCAGACTTTCTAGGATTTTCCAAGGGCTTTAAATGACCCTGACAACTGTTTGGTCTCACTTCCACACACATGCTTCTGGACTTGACCTTTGACCCACAGCTGCAACTCACTCTTAGCTCTGACCTCAGCCAGCAGCACTGAGCATCAGTAGCTGTTGGTTCTAGAAATTGCGTTCAGAGAAACAGAACTCATTGTTTACGAAGGGGAGGCAGATTGGTGTCCACAAACAGTCCGTGGTGCTCTGCAGTAGGTTTCTGTTTAAAGTAGACAGTCCATCCGGAATCCTTCCTGAGCTGGAAACCACTGACCTGAGATCAGTCAGGGCTTGTAAATTGTCTATCACCTGGCTCTGGGGCAGTGATGCAACTTCACTGCTGCAAAGGTGATTACTGTTCAAGAATCATTGCCTCTTGGAAGGCCTCAATCCATCTGAAGACAAAAATACAAAATCAGCTCCCAGAGAAGCACATTAAAATGGACAAAGTAGTAATTCATCAACATGATCTAAAGTGGCAATCCTTAAAATTATCATGAAATCAAAAACTGGGTGCGATAATATTTGCAGTTGTCATTTTTTAGCAACAGCCACTCAGTAATTATCTTCCTATATAATAGCTTTTTTTAGTGGTAGGATTCCCGTGTGTCAGTGGAATTCAGCTTTACAGTTTGTAAATCTTTATTCTCTTTTAAATCTGATTTTGGTCTCCACCACCTCCTGATGGAATTATCTGGCTCTTTAGCTGCTAAATGCTCCAGTCTTTCCACCAACCAGTCTCTAACTGTTTTTATCTCCCATGGGGTGGCTTTGCACTGACTGTAATCATCTACAAAATAAGACAATAGTAATTTCTGGCAGTTTTGATGGCACATGCAGAGATTTCTGCACTGTAAACAAACATGCCCGTTGCTCTTTTGTTGAATTTCAGACAAAGTAGGTGCTGATGGAGTATATGATGGAGCTTCGCTATTAAACCACACTTGCAGTTACTACGGCAACCACAGGTGCTGCCAAATCAACCAGGACTGAAATCTGAAGGATTATAACTGTAAGGCATTGTCTGTCATTTTAAGTCACATACCTCTGTGCAGTGGGGATGTCGTCAGCTTTAAAGATGTAAAATAGCGTGTTTTTGTGGTACAGCTTGAACTGCAGCTTCTGCGCCGGCCCGTTCTTCTCCTCTCTCAGGAAAAAACCCAGCAATGGCTGACTCTCCAAAGCTGCAACATCCTGGAGAGAAAGAAACATAATCAACCAAAATGCAAAAAGCTAAAGAGTTCAAATAAAATAGCAAATTAAAGAAAGCAGGAGTACCTCACTAGCAGCGTAGGTGTACAGCACTTTATTCTTAATGACAAACCACAGCCTTTTCCAATGCTTCTTATTGCCTTTGGACCTGTTTAAGTAGCCACTCATGGAAGAGTTCTCTGTGTTGGCAGAAACCTGGAAAAACAGCAGGAGAAAAATACGTCTCCTCACATCATTGCTACATCAAATATGCACAAAAAATCACAAAGTCGACTACAATGA